TTCATGTGTCCACAGTAAGACAGACTGTCTACAAATGGAGAAAGTTTAGCACTGTTGCTACTCTCCTTAGGCGTGGTCGTCCTGTAAAAATGACTGCAAGAGCACAGCGCAGAATGCTGCATGAGGTAAAGAAGAATCCCAGAGTGTCAGCTAAAGACCTACAGAAATCTCTGGCACATGCTAACATTTTTGTTGACACATCTACAATAAGGAAAACATTAAACAAGAATGGAGTACATGGGAGGACACCACGGAGGAAGCCATTGCTGTCCAAAAAGAATATTGCAGCACGTTTGAAGTTTGCAAAAGAGCACCTGGATGTTCCACAGCACTACTGGCAAAATATACTGTGGACAGATGAAACCAAGATTGAGTTGTTTGGGAAGAACACACAACACTATGTGTGGAGAGAAAAAGGCACAGCACACCAACATCAAAACCTCATCCCCACTGTAAAACATGGCGGAGGGAGCATCATGGTTTGGGGCTGCTTTGCTGCCTCAGGGCCTGGACGGATTGTTGTCATTGATGGGAAAATGAATTCCAGAGTTTATCAAGACATTTTGCAGGAAAACGTATGACCATCTGTCAGCCAGCTGAGCTCTGCAGAGGATGGGTGATGCAACAGGACAATGACCCAAAGCATACAAGTAATTCAACAAAACAATGGCTACAACAGCACAGAATACGCCTTCTGGAGTGGCCCAGTCAGAGTCCTGACCTCAACCCGATTGAAATGCTGTGGCATGACCTTAAGAGAGCGATTCACACACCAGACATCCCAAGAATATTGCTACACTGAAACAGTTTTGTGAAAAGGAGTGGTCCAAAATTACTCCAGATCATTGTGCAGGTCTGATCTGCAACTACAGGAAACGTTTGGTTGAGGTTATTGCTGCCAAAAGAGGGTCAACCAGTTATTAAGTCCAAAGGTTCATATAGTTTTTCCTCCCTGCACTGTGAATGTTTACATGTTATGTGCAATTAAACCATGGCAACATCTAATGTTTGTGTAGTATTATGTTCAGCAGACTGTGTTCTTCTATTGTTGTGACTTAGATGACGATCAGAGCACATTTTATGCCCAATTCATGCAAAACTCCACGTAATCCCAAGGGGTTCACATACTTTTTCTTGCAACTGTATATTATATATATGTACATGCCAGCTGAATTGGTCCCCCCTCTGCGTTGACCTGAAATATGAAGTATATATATATATATATATATATATATATATATATATATATATATTAATTTATTACACACACACACACATATATATAAAAAATATACACACACACACACATATATATAAAAAATATACACACATACACATATATACAGTGGCAAAAATTATTAATTGATCCCCTGCAGATTTTGTAAGTTTGCCCACTTATAATGAAATAAAGGGTCTATCATTTTTATCATATGTGTATTTGAAATGATAGAAAATCAACCAAAAATCCAGGAAAAAACACGATACAAATATTATAAATGGAGTTGCAGTTCAGTGAGTAAAATAAGTATTTGATTGCCTACCAACCAACAATAATTCTGTCTCCCACAGACTGGCTATGTGCTCATGTGGTACACAGATTAGTCCTGTCAATTTAAAAAGGTGCTCCTAAGGACAACTCATTATGTGTATAAAAGACACCTGTCCACAGAATCTCTTTCTTCCATTCAAATTTCACCGCCATAGGCAAAAGCAAAGAGCTGTTAAAGGATGTCAGGGGCAAGATTGTAGACCTGCACAATGCTGGAATGAGCTACAAGACCATCAGCAAGCAGCTTGGTGAGAGGAAAAGGAAACAACTGTTAGAGCAATTATTCGCAAATGGAAGAAACACAAAATAGCAAATCGCCCTTGGTCTGGAGCTCCATGCAAGATTTTGCCTTATGGGAGAAATGTGAGAGATCAGCCCAGAACTGCACTGCAGGAACTTGTGAATGATCTCAATAAAGTCGGGACCACAGTCACCAAACAAATCATTGGTAAGAATACGCCGACGTGGATTGAAATCCTGCAGAGCCCCCAAGGTCCCCCTCCTGAAGAAGGCACATGTTCATTGGCAAACTTCAGATGGGCCTCTGTACATCTAAATGATTCAGAGAAGGATTGGGAGAAAGTGCTGTGGTCAGATGAAACCAAAATTTAAAAAAAAAAAAATCTTTGGCATTAACTCGACTCGCCATGTTTGGAGGAAGAAAAATGCCGACTATGACCCTAAGAACACCTTCCCTACAGTCAAGCATGGACGTGGAAACATTATGCTTTGGGGCTGTTTCTCTGCTAAAGGTACAGGCCGACTGCCAAATTAAGGGGGCCAATGGACAGGGCCATGTATTGGTAAATCTTGGATGAGAACCTTCTTCCCTCAACCAGGACACTGAAGATGGGTCTTTCAACATGACAATGACCTAAAACATACCGCCAAGGCAACAAAGGAGTGGCTCAAGAAGCACATTAAGGTCCTGGAGTGGCCTAGTCAGTCCAAACCTTATTCCTATAGAAAATTTATGGAGGGAGTTGAAACTTCAAGTTGCCAAGTGACAGCCAAGAAACCTTAAGGATTTAGAGATCTATAAAGAAGAGTGGACCAAAATCCCTCCCGGGATGTGTGCAAACCTGGTAACCAACTACAAGAAACATCTCACCTCTGTGCTTGCCAACAAGGGTTTCTCCACCAAGTACTAAGTCATGTTTTGCTTCGGGATCAAATACTTCTTTTACTCACTGAATTGCAGCTCGATTTATAACATTTGTATCATGTGTTTTTCCTGGATTTGTTTGTTGATATTCTGTCTCTATCATTTAAAATACACCTATGATAAAAATGATATACCCTAAAAGTGAGCAAACTCACAAAATCTGCAGGAGGAGATCAAATAATAAATTTTCCCCACCTTATCTGAAAATCAATCAATCCTGATGTGCTGGCATCCTATCATTTCTTCAGGCCCTAAAATGCCAAGGCAGTACAAACAGCCCCCCAAATGGCACCGTTTTGAAAAGTAGACAGTGTGCAGTATTTAGTAAGAGGCGTTGAGTTTTTTGAAGTTGTAATTTTGTGACAGTTTTTTTGGAAAATTAATAAATATTTTTCAATATACCGTCACCAGTGCAGTACAGCATCATCATATGACTGGTGTCATGGTGTTCAAGGATACTGACTAGTGACAGTATGTTAAAAAAAAGTAAATTATTTTTTTATTAAAAATTTCAGAACTTTTTAATTTTCTTTTACTTGCATCAGAGTAGTCCAGTGTCACCATAGTAACGGGGCGGGGGGGGAAATCAGCGGTTTTCGTTTTGTAAATCGACTTTGATTGCGGTTACAGTGATGATCACTTTAACAGTACTGTTTTGAACAGTCATGAATAGGTTTCATTTACAACAGCTGTAATTACTATTGTGTGCTGTGATTGACCCACAGCTATCACAAAGTACAGGGTGCTGTGATTGACCCAGGTACTATGTAATAGATGTGGGCCAATCACAAGAGCACAATACTAAGCACAGCGGTTATGAATGGAACCCATTCATAATAGTTGTGTTTACATTTACAGTGATCATGTGATACCTTGGTTGCTCAAAGTGGCGGGGTACCGGAAGCTGCAATCCACTGTGTGCAGTGGACACAGCAGTTGTAGGAGCAGCGCGATGCTGGAAGCTGGAGTTTGGCTTCAATTTGTAAGTATCTAAAGCTTCTAGTATACTTAACACTCCTCTCCCCCCAGACTGACAATGCTGTTGTCCAAAGGTGCCTCCCTGTGCTTCTTCATCAGAAGTGGGGACATCCTAATACAGGTGGTGTGTTACTGGACAGATCACCAGGTGAAAACGGATGGGGGGGGAGCCTAAAAAAAGAAAACTAATGCAGCCACCACATCTAATAATTGTTAGGCTGCAATATATTACTTTTTTTGGTGTACCACTGCCATACATGATATATTGAACTCCAGGCAAGAATACTTTCATTTTACTAAATAGCTACAAAGCAGATAAATCCATTTTGTGTGCACCAAATGCAAACACAGATATTACCTTGGTAAAGTCTGTGATTAATTGTAGCTGAAGATACCATAAAGCTGGAGATCAGCTTTTAAACAAACAATCTATGCCATAAAAAAGTGAGCAGGATTTCAAAGCATGCAAAAGCAGTTACATGCAGTTGGCTTTGTGAATAGGTTAGAAGATACCTGAATTTGAGCAGTCCATCTGCGACATTTGACAATCCCCTTCAATCTTCATCTTTTTTGTACTAAAATCTGAGGTAGAAGAGCAGAGGCCACTAACAGCTGAGAATAAGTGTCTACGTTATCGCCATCATTGGCTGAATCCTCCATCCACTCCACCTTCCTCTTCATGGAAGACAAAGCTATGGCGGAAGGTGTCACCGATCCCCCTGGTCTTGCTCTCCCCAAGAGAGTAGACCCAGGGACACTGTGCTGGAGGAGGTAATAGTCTATCCTGGCTTTTAGAGAGGGATGGGGAAGAGGCTGAGATTGGGGAGTGTACGGAACTCCAGTAAATGGGTCACTTGGCATTCTACCCCATGATGCTTCACTTTGGTTGCATTTATCGAGTGTGCTTTGGTCAACAACCTTCCCGGATGGCAGAATCATGGGGAAAGTCATGATTTCCAGTGTGATAGGATCCAGAAATTCCTCTGGCACATCTTGAAGAACATTGGCAAGTTCGCTTAGGCTATGTTGTGCGTTGTCCGAGTTATTGTAAGACAAGTGGTTACTTTCCATCGGCGAGACGGGTTGAGGCTGCCCAAAACTATTGGGGAGGCTCATAAAGGCAACCTGGTACACACTCTCCACCACTTCTTTGGGACACGTCTTAGAGGGCTGACCCCAAACCTCCACCCTCTTTATAGAGCAAGCAGCACCACCAGATATGTGTGTTATGCAGATCTTCAGATGGGTGACATTGCTAAGAGAGTGCTGGCCTTTATTCCAGAGATCCTGGCATGAAGACCCATGGTAAGACATCACGTTATCGGTATGATGGAATGGGTGCCTTGGCTTGAAGCCTCGGTTATTGAATGTAGCCTTGCTTTGATTTCTCAGTAGCACTTTACCCACCAAAGCAAACAGTTCTTTGTCCACTCCTTGGCAACCCAAAACAGGCTGACCAGACTCCTGGCTATTCCAACACATTTTATTAGTGGAAGTAGCCGTAAAGATGTCCATTCCTGTGAAGGGAGGGTGACCACCAGAGGACGTGTCTATGTTTATCCTACATATGTCTATGTTAAATGGAAAAGTGATGGTGATGTGCACAGGAGGCTTGATAAAGTATTCACAGCGAAACCCTCGGTTCCTTTTAGCGAGGTCTTCGGAGATTAGATTTTCTACTTCATAGCCATCAGCACTGATCTAAAAGAGTTAAAGAATAAACATATTCAGAGAATATGCAAGTCAAGGAGGTATACACATAATAGATTATAAAACATTCACTATAAAATACCTTAATGTGAGATTCAAAATAAAAGAAACAATGTATTAGGGACAGATAATTGGGTGTTGAGGTGACCACTGGCAGCTAATTAAAATAGGATACCTCCATCAATATCTTCCACTGTGCTTTACCCTTGCAAAGGAGCCCTGCTAACAGAACGTTTTCTCCTTGCTCCTCCACCAAGAGGAAAGGAAACTACCCGGCCTTAGTACATATATGAGAGCATATGGCATCCACCTTCATTCCAAGTGCCAGCACTGGTGCTTGGTGATGGGCTCAGTGCCGTCACATGTCGGTGGGGCAACAGCCATGTATAAGCTCCAAGTCCTGACTTGGAACTCAAAAACAGCATGCTCTATTCACTACCAACAGCTAAACAGAGGGATGGGGGAGTGAAGATAAATATAGGCTGTGATGAATGCAGTGCCCGACCCCTGCCCTTCTCACCAACTCGTGACAAAGGACCAGCCAACCAGGATCAGCTGCACCCTGCATAAACATTTTCTAGCACACGGGAGCACAATCTAGGTGCCAGCAGCCTGAGATCAATTGTCACTGAATTAGGTTAATTACGCAGTTAACCCTCAAACTGCCAGCAGATAGCTTTGGGACTATCAACCCTTCACAATATTAGCAAGAACAAATGTGAACAATAAACATCTAAACACACACATTGACACCATAGACAAGTGTAGTATATTCAGAGGATTATTAAATACAGTAGCACTCTTCAAGAGACAGGGATTCTTCAGTTTGCATTAAAGGCCTTAGAGACAGTTCTAACACTTTTCAAAATAGGGTTTATTAACTGGTTGCCAACCAGCCACAGTACATATGCTGCGGCAGGGCGGCACCGCTGTGCAAAATCACGTTTATAAATGTCATTTTTCATATCAGGTAGGGGGTCCGCCCTACCCGCGCCGCCGATCGTGGCCGCGGATGTCAATACCTGGGTCCCGGCCGGTCATTACCCGCCGGGTCCCGTGCCGGCAAACAGTGACACAGAGCACAGCTGCATTGTTTTCAATGCAGCTCTGCTCCCTTTCAGTTCCCAACGCACTGTCAGGGAGAGCAGAGATTAGATTTCTGGGACAGTGTGCAACAGTGAAGTACACACCCCTGCCCACTAGTAAAACACTCCCCTCACACAGTTAACCCTTTGATTGCCTAAAGAAGTTAACCCCTTCCTCCCCAGTGCCATTAGTACAGTGTCAGTGGTTTTTTTTTTGTTTTTTTTTGTTTTGCACTGATCACTGTATTGGTGTCACTGGGCATGTCAGTGACCCCAAGTCAGTTCCCCCCCAGTATCAGAATGTCCGCCGCAGTTCCGCCATAAGTCGCTGATCGCCATTATTAGTATAAAAAAAAAAAATCCAGCATCTATACCGCCATTTGTAAACGCAATAACTTTCACATAAACCAATTAATTTACACGTATTGGGATTTTATTTTAGCAAAGACATGGAGCAGAATACATTTTGGCTGAAATTTATGAGAAAATTTGATTTGGTTTTTTTACTGGACATGTTTTATAGTAAAAAGTCCAAAATATTTTTTCTCAAAATTGTCTTTTTATAGCGCGAAAAATAAAAAAACCGCACAGGTGATTAAATACCACTGAAAGAAAGCTCAATTTGTGGGGAAAAAAAAGATGTCAATTTTATTTTGGTGCAGCGTTGCATCACCGTGCAATTGTCAGTTAAAGTAACGCAGCACCGTAACACAAACCGCTTATGTAACCGCTTCCTGACCGCCCTATAGCAGAAATACTGCGACAGGGCAGCACAGCTGCGCAAAATCACATATACATACATATATATATATATATATATATATATAATATATATATATATACACACGTGATTGGTGCTCCCGTGGTTTTCACGCCCCTCCCAGATGGCGTCAGATTGCCCGTCAGTACACCAGTCATCACATTTAACCCCTTGATTGCCAGGAAGACACTCATACACAATAAACCTCCATTGCTAGTATAGTGTCTGAACGGATCAATATCTTTGTTCAGATTAACACTATACCAGCGTTCACATTAGTATAGCATCCCCAAAAATGCAGCCTTAGCGGGATCAGCCCCGGCACCGGCCAACACCTGCAAGTGCAGTGTCAGTAGGTCACTGTCACTTGATACATTGCACACAAAACTGCAGTGTTGGCAGAATCAGGCCTGATCTCTGTTAGTACTTGTCGGTAAATTTTGATAACTCTCGTATGCAGCAAAGTGCCAGTACTAGTGCCACGCTACCTTTTGGTGAACTGGCGACACCAGAGGTCTAGTACATCCTGGTCTTTCACATACCTCTTAGATTGTAAGCTCCCCGGATCAGGCTCTCCTAACCCTCTTGTATTGAACTGTATTGTTTCCCGTTATATTGTAAAGTGCTGCGCAAACTGTTGGCGCCATATAAATCCTGTATAATAATACCAGTATGACTTGGCGACGTGGCGAGCCCCATAAGTGTAGTATAAGCTGGTGCAGTGGCGAGCAAAAGTATTGCTTGGATTTACGAGGGAAAAGATAGTCATGTGGAACCCCCCAGATGCCCAGACTACATGGGGAGCAGTGGCAAGATGGTTTGGGACTTGGTGTCATCCTTCTCCATATGGGGTACTACTTATACGTGGACAATTTTTATTCAAGCGTGCCACTATTTAGACATTTGTTCAATCTTGGAACTGGCGCATGTGGCAAAGTGTGACCTAATGTGTGCCCACCATTAGAAGTGGGTGGATGCAGGGCAGTATATTCCAATGGTGGGCATACCACACTTTTTCTGGCAGAGATTTCTTCTCTTTTTTTCAATTCAGTCCACAGGCTGCATACAAAAAAAAAAAAAACACCATAGCATATACAGTAATACCTCGGTTTCGAATGCCTCTGTTAACGTAATTTACATTTTACAAATGAAAATCCATGGTTTACAAATGTTTTACTAATTTTTTTCACAATACTAAGTGTATGTCAGTGCTGATTTTTAAATGCAATTGCCATCTTTTTTTTTTTTTCTTCAGTATAGCTCACAACATTCGCTGTCAGTTCCCCAGAGCTAAAGGATACTTTGTATATTTTTAAGAAACTGAAAGGATACAATGTATCTTAAGAAACTGAAAGAAAACATTGTATCTTTTAAGAAACTGAAAGGAAACGTATCTTTTAACTTGGGGAAATAAACTAAAAGAAACTTTCTCTCTTTCAGCTGTAGGGGGAAAGTAACTGCTGAATTTCTGAACTACTGTATAGTGAAGGGAAAAAAACAAAAAAAAAAAACTGTAATTACATTTAAAAACTGGCACCTGACAGCTGAATGAATTGCCTGCAATTCTTTTACATTCAGCTGTCAGTGGGGAACCCTGCTGACAGCTGAAATATTAACACATGGCTGTCACTACTAAAATACTGCATGAGTTAATAAAATAACTCATGCGGTATTTTAGTAGCGTTTACTGTTTTTCTGACCTTCTGAACGGATTAATTGGTTTTCAATGCATTCTTATGGGAAACAGTGTTTCGGTTTACAAATTTTTCGCTATATGAAATGTCCTGCAGAGCGAATTAAATTCTTAAACCAAGGTACTGGTACATCACTGGACTTTGAATGGTTATACCAGGATGATGCCTACAGCTGCAGGCATCATCCTGGTATCGTTTTTTTCAGCCGGCAATCGGCTTTCATGCAAAAGCAATCCTAGTGGCTAATTAGCTGCAGGATTGCTTTTACAAGCAGCAAGAAGACGATGCCCCCCCCCCCCACTGCCTTCTCAGGAAGTCCCGTGCCATCGGGGAAACCTGAGAATGCAGCTGGTGTTTCTGCCAGCTGACCATAGAGCTGATTGGAGACCAGAATGGTGCCAATCATCTCTATAGTCTAAGAATTCGGAAGCTACAAGCATTTCATCACTTCAGTTTCACAGGATATAAACAGCGCCATTTGTAAATTGGGAAAGCATCTGATCACACCGATCTTGGTTTGATCAGATAATGTAAGGGCAGAGGAAATATCTAGAGTCTGATAGACCTCAGATTTCCCAACAAAGAATATGACAATGCCCACTGAAGTTATAGGGGATATTTGCAATCCCTGTGATAGCATTAAAAGTGATCAAAAAAAAAATAAAAAAATAAAAATGAAGGTACAGTGTAAAAATAGAAACTTAAAAAAAAAAAAAAAGTACCCTCACCCCCCTGCGCACGCACGCGCGTGCGTGAGCATCGACCCTGTGCCAGTATGGAAACAGTGGTTGCACCATGCATGTGAGGTATCGCCACGAACGTCAGATCAAGAGCAGTAATTCTAACACTAGACGACCTCTGTAAATCTAAAATCGTAGCTTGTAAAGGTTTTTAAAACGTTGCTTATGGATATTAAAAACATATGCAGTTTGTCGCCATTGCACGGGGCATGCGCAGTCTTAAAGCATGTCATGTTTGGTATCTATTTACTCGGCATACCATCATCTTTTATATTTTACCAAATAATTGGCCAATATTTAGTGTTTTCGTGCATTAAAGGTACTGCGCGAGTACTGTCTGACAAACAATTGCAGTACCCACTATTTTTATTCACTAGGGCGTTTGCTTTAAAAAAATATATATAATTTTTGGGGTTTAAATTAATTTCCTAGCAAAAAATACAGAACAAAAAGTGTCAGAAAAGGCTTGGTCTTCAGGTGGTTTGAAGAGTGATGTGTGGCATAAACTTCTAATGCTGGGCATAAAAGGCCCCCACCCACCAAAACGACCCCTTTTTGTAAAGTAGACACCCCAAACTATTTGCTGAGAGGCATGCTGAATCAATAGAATTTATTTTTTTACCACAAATTTTTGGAAAACGACAAACAAAAAATTTTTTTTTTTTTTTTTTTTTTTTTACACAAAATTGTCACTTAAATGATTTGTGTCCCATACATGCCATGGGTATATGTGGAATCACTCCCCAAAATACATTCGGCTACTTCTCCCGAGTATGGGGGTACCACATGCGAGAGACGTTTTGGCAGTCTAGCCAAGTACAGGACCCCAAAATACAATAAGCATCTTCAGGCTTTTAAAAGGGCTTTATTTCCTCATTACACTTCCTGACTACCTATCACAGTTTCGGAGTCCCTGAAATGCCAGGATAGCACCACCAACCCCCTCAAATTACCACTTTTTGGAAAGTAGACACCCCAAGGAATTTGATCAGTAACATGGTGAGTATTTTGCAGATCTCGTTTGTTGCCACAAGTTTTTCAAAATTGAAAAAAAACAAAAAAAACAAAACATTTTTTCTTTTCCTTTTTTATATTTCAAAACCTTGTGAGAAAAAAATGAGATCTGCAAAATACTCATGCCTCTTTTTAAATTTCTTGGGGTGTCTGCTTTCCAAAGAGGAAAAGGGGTAATTTTGGGGGGGGGGGGGGGGGTTGGTGCTATCCTGGCATTTCAGGGCCCTCGAAACCGTGATAGGTATTGAGGAAGTGAAATGAAGAAGTTACGCACCTTCATGCTTTCAAAGTGGTCATTGGATTTCAGGCTCCTGTATGTGGCTAGGCTCCCAAAAAAAGTCTCACACATGTGGTAACCTCATACTCGGTAGAAGTAGCAGAATGTATTTTGGGGTGTAATTCCACATATACCCATGGCTTGTGTGAGAAATATAGAATTTAAATGACTTTTTTTTTTTTTACACAAACACAATTTCCAGAAACTTGTGGAAAAACAAATCTTACATGGACTCAATATGCCTCTCAGCAGATAGCTTAGGGTGCCTACTTTCTGAAAAGGGGTCATTTGGGGGTGTTTGTACTGTCCTGGTATTTTAGCACCTCAAGAAATGTGATGAGCAGTCAGAAAGGAAAAGCTGTGTAAATTCCATTATCTCTACCATAGTTTGTAGACGCTATAACTTTCACACAAAGCAATCAATATACACTTATTGGGATTTTTTTAACCAAAAACATGTAGCAGAATACATTTTGGCCTAAATTTATGACAAAAAAAATTAGCTTTTTTGGATATTTTTTATGACAGAAATGAGAAAATATCGTTTTTCACAAATGTTTTTTTTCTCATAACTTTTTTTTGGATATAGCGCTAAAAATAAAAAAGCGCACAGGTGATAAAATACCACCAAAATAAAGCTCTATTTGCGTGAAAAAAGGACAAATTTCATTTATGTACTGTTTTTCATGACCGCGCAATTGTCAGTTAAACTAGTGTAGTGCTGTATAGCAAAAAAAATGGCATAAAGTGCAATATCTATACCATAGTTTGTAGACGCTATAACTTTCACACAAAGCAATCAATATACACTTATTGGGATTTTTTTTACCAAAAACATGTAGCAGAATACATTTTGGGCTAAATTTATAACGGAGTTTACTATATATTTTTTTAGCCGAAAGCAAAAAATATTGTTTTTCTTCAAAATGTTCGGTCTTTTTTTGTTTATAGCGCAAAAAATAAAAAGTGCACAGGTGATCAAATACCAGCAAAAGAAAGCTCTATTTGTGTGAAAAAAGGATGTAAATTTTGTTTGGGTACAGCATTGCATGACTGCGCAATCATCAGTTGAATTAGTGCAGCGCCCAGTAGCAAAAAGAGGCCTGGTCATTAAGGGGGGTAAATCCTCAGGAGGGCAAGTGATTAATGAAAAGGTCAAATGGTGCAATTAAAATATTTACAGAAAGGGATGTTACAAAGCAATAAAGAGAACAATAATGCAACAGAGAAATAAAAACAAACAATAGGTGCCACTTGCCACCATGTGATATTGAGCACAGCTTCTAACCACTACTTGATCTGATTTTAATTCTTCATACTCCTGACGAAGCTCTGTAGTTGGAGCGAAACGTGTGGATTTCTTCCTTCTTTTTCTTTGGGTCATTTGGGAGCACTTTTTGAATGCACATGGCACTTACTCCCCTTTCTGGAGTGGTTTTCACTACGCATATCAGTGCATTATTTGCATTCTTCAAGATAGTGAAGTATTTTTGACTTGATAAGGTGATGTATGGGGCTTGTCCATTAGAGGCCTAAATTAAGGCCCGTGGATGAGTGCACCCCCATATTACACATATGTAACAAGATAGACCATATTACCTATTGGGTTCTTTCCTGGGGGGAATTTCATTTCTTCAGCAGAGTGTATGCATCTTTACCTGACAGGCATATGATCAAACCATAGTTGTTCTTGCCACAACTTAATCCAAAGATGGTACGAAATCATGACTCGGCTTGGTGCTGGTAAATATTTGGATGTAAGGGATAAGTTTATTGGCTAATAATTGTAATTAATTCAGTTATGAGATTGTTGCACAGTGCATCCCAGTCTAAAAGTTTCTGAATTAAATACAGTTCAGTATATACATTTTTCTATAAAAATCCTAATAAAAAGGTTATATTTTAAATTAACTATTCGGCTAATTGGTGTGTAGGGATATGCACCCTCGTCCAGTATAGAGTTCTTGATTGCCAAACATGATGATTTATATGAATTAAGGCTTAGAAAAAAAAAAAAAAAAAAAAAAAAAAAAAAAAAAAAAAAAAAGGTATTAGGAGGGGCTGGAGGGAGCTGCATTCAGACATTTTTTTTTTACCTTAATGCATAAAATGCCCTAACAACCTTCTCCCTTTAGAACCACTTTAAGCAGTTGCCAGGTGCAAAGCTTGTTTCAAACTATCACTAAATAGCACTGCTTAGAAAGTTGTCATCTTGTCAAATAGTAGCAATGACTGCAGAGGGCTCATTTAATATGGACAGCAAATATCGTTATGTACTCCACCTTATATGTAGCTCATATTTTACAGCTGTGTTGAGTATGTGGTGTCCAAAGTGGTTCTACTTACCACAGCAGAGTGAGCTCTTTGACTGAAGGGGAACCAATCATGTTACTCTGACAATTTATCATTTTAGTATTCAGTTTTATTATGTTTTTTCATGCAGTTCCTCTTTAAAAAAAAAAAAAAAAAATCATAAATGCACATATTTCTGCAGATAAAAAAAGTGCATTTCTGTTTTTTTTTTCCCTACAGGAGTCTGCAAAGTATTGTGCCCACAATCAGTAGATGGTAATGTTAGGCTCCTGCAAACTCTTCCTCCAGCTGTCTGCCCATATCCCAGGAGGTCTTTCAGTTAGAGAGCCAGAGGAAGAGTCAATGGACTAAGAGTGCGCCGATTACCACACCTGTATTCCATAGAAAAATGAATGCAGATCACGGTGGTGGTAGGCACGTTTTACTCTAGCAGCATTTAGGTGTGCCCTACCGATTCCAGTTTTAATGTTGAAAATAGGATATTTTAAATACAGATACATTTTATTTCAACAAACTCAACAGTAAATCTGAATGCCCAAACATACCTTGTTGCAGACTATGCATGGCCGAAACTGAGGAAGACAAAGGTTGACCACCATCCTGGCTGATTAGTGTGATGGATCTCCAGAATACCTGAAAGAGAAAGGAAACGTACTGAACTTCAGAAACTGGACTCAGATTGCTCACATTACTTTAGATTGTAAGCTCCATGAGCAAGGCCCTCCTATTCCTTCTGTAGTATTGTGATTGTACTGCCTTTATATCATAAAGCGTTGCACAAACTGTTGGTGCTATATAAATCCTGTATTATAATAACAATAAATAATTACCAAGTACCCTGCAGGTACAATTCAGACAAGTCCATGCAAATGTTCTTAGCGGACCTTCACTATGACCTTGATGTTTGTCACCTAGGTTAGAATGACATCCACAACCTGCTCATTGCTTCCTCCACATCAAGCATCCTAGGAGGCTTTTGGGGCGTGCCCTGCAGTGCCTTATCATAAGGCTGTCCTGATTTTTGAAGCCACACCCTTGATGATATGCATGCATAGTGGCATGTATTCAGGAGGCCTGCTTGAAAACCAGGAAGAGTCAGCCAGAAAGAAAGACAGTGGTGCTGGACCTGGTGATCATCAGCAAACTGGTGGGTTACTGGAGGGCATCACTGGATTCGCTTGGCATGCAAGTATGTTTATGAAGGACAACCAGGTGATAAAAAATAAGGGTGAATTTAAAAGATAAAAGGGAGAAAGTTCCATGAAGTATTGGGTGGGCAGCTATATGGCAGATTAAGTTTTATGTTGAAAAATATAAAGCAGCTTGGCTGCTAAAAATATGAAGGCAAGTTACATCCTAGGGGGCTAGAACCTGTGAGAATTGAGGATGAAAAGAAATCTGGGGGTCCTAGTAGAGCACAAACTCATGAATGGCATATAATGCCAAGCTGCAGTAAGCAAGGCCAGCAGACTATTATCATGCATTAAAAAAGGGGATTTACGCCAGGAGATAAAACTATAATTCTACCACTTTACAAAACTGTGGTTTGGCCACATCTTGAGTATGCTGTCCAGTTCTGGGTACCAATCCTCAGGAAGGATGTCCTTGAAATGGAGAGTCCAGGGAAGGGCAATAAAGCTAATAAGGGGGCTGGAGGACCTCAGCTTTGAGGAACAGCTACTGACAAACGTATTCTCCCTGGAAGGGCTTGGGAGGGGATATGATAGCGATATACAAAATATTCAAATTGGGGTTCTAGCATTGGGAGGAAACCATTTAACCTAAGGTCTCTAAAGAAGGCACGTGGTCATACAATGAAGCTGGATGAGAAGTGGTTTAATCCTGAACTGCATAGGGGGTTTGTCAGAAAAGTGCAGCTACTGCCAATTCTTCTACAGTTAATGCTAATTCTTCTGCAGCCCATGCAAATTCTTCTTCAGCTAATGCTCGTGGACATGCACCAGTACAAAGACAAGCTCAGTCTAATATCCAGCATGCACTGACAAGCAGGCGCAATTCTATGCACCATCACGCATCGGCAAGCACGTCTTCTCGCACTGGTGCCAAGCTGCCCGTTTAAAAGGAGACTCTGCTGTGTACCAATTGCTGGATGTTCTTCAGCTTCCTGTGACCCGTGTTCCTGTTTGTACTGACTGATCTTCCGTTGCTGACCTGGCTTGCTCCTGTCCTTGCTCTGTGGATTCTGGATTCTTATCTTGGCTTGCCTTATGCTACTCTCTGCCTGATCTAGTGCTGACCTTGGCTTGCTACTGGACCCTGCTCTGCTTGCTAACCTGGTACTGACCCCAGCCTGCCTCTTGACCACGCTGCTATCTCACTGTGCATGACCCTGGCTCATCTTGACAACATCCCTGACCATGACAGTCACCTGCTATCAAGCTATGGGCACCCGTGATTCTTTGAGACTTGTACCTCTGTTGCCTCATTCAGGGGTGCTTGGACCAGAGCTGCAAGGGAAGCCCTCGTCAACCCAGCCTTCAACCAAGGTATGTAACAGGGATTCTTTGTTAGGCTGGCAAGTACTGCACAGCTTGGTGTCATCTGCAAAGACTGAAATAGTATTTTTAATCCCAGACCCTATATAGTTTATAAACATATTAAAAAGTAAGGGTCCCAACACTGAACCTTGGGGTACACCACTGACGACGCTAGACCATTCAGAGTATGAATCATTAACCACTACTCTCTGAACACCATCTTTAAGCCAGTTTTCTACCCATTTACATACGGATTTTTCCAAGCCTGTAGACTTTACCTTACACATTAGCCATGTGTGGGGAACTGTGTCAAACGTTTTTGCAAAATCCAAGTATACCACGTCCACCGCCACCCCTCTGTCTAAGATTATGCTTACCCCCTCATAAAAAGAAATCAGATTTGTTTGCAACTTCTGTCTTTCATGAATCCATGCTGTCTGTTGCTTAAAATATTTTTTTTCCAGCAAGAAGTCATCTATGTGATCTTTTATTAAACTCTCCAATATCTTCCCAACTATAGAAGTTAAACTAACATGTCTATAATTACTTGGTAAAGATTTTGACCCCTTTTTAAATATAGGGACCACATTGGCCTTACGCCAATCCAGTGGTACTATGCCAGTCATTAAAGAGGCACTAAAATGAGAAACAATGGCTTTGAAATGACAGAACTCAATTCTTTAAGGACTTGTGGGTGTATGCCATCTGGTCCAGGTGCTTTATTTACCTTTATTCTGTCTAAATATTTCTGGATCATACCAATTGTGAGCCAATGTGGATCATATGGAGCTGTATCAATATCATGCCCATTATGGACAAGAGCTCTCCCATGCTTCTTTGTATACACAGAGCTGAAGAACAAACTGCAATGATTACCTTTGTAGTACGCACCTCCATGTGCAGTTCCACCCATAAAACTTCAGCCTTATCAACCTCTCCATCAACTAGGTCCTCTTTCACACTTGCTCTGAGATCACTTCTCACAGAGACAGACACCACCACCTTTCCTTTTTACCCTCTCTCCAAAAGAGAACATAGCCAGGAATATTAATGGCCCAGTCATGTGAAGAATGAAGCCAAGATTCAGCAATACCAATTAAATCATAGTTCTGATCATGCACCAAAGCTTCCAACTCACCTATTTTGCTTGGCAGACTTTTGCCACTGGTGAACAAACACTTTAATTCATCGACACACGTGCACACTTATTTTGCATATGTTTTATTTTCATACAAACGGTACCAATTCCAACAGTTGCTTGTAATATGAGAACCTTCTTATCTGCCATAGCCCTCCTCCCATCTTTCCCCATTCCACCCACCAATAAGGACTGACCTGTCTGCCCCATTATAATTCAATTCTCCCTCAATTCTAGTTTAAATACTCCTCCAGCCTCCCCATAAACCTGTCCCCAGCACAGCAGAGGTGTGTTCCATTTAGGTGTAAACCATCTCTAACATATGGGTTGCACCCCAATAAAAAGTCAGCCCAGTGCTCTAGAAACCCAAATCCTTCCCTGTTACACCTGGTCTTTATCCATGCATTGAGTTCTCTAATCTCCCAGTCTTTCCTTAGTTGCCCATAGCACAGGTAATATTTCAGAGAATATCACCTTGGAGGTCCTTCCCTTAACTTGCAGCCTAGTTCTTTAATTGATTCTAATGGAGCCTCCACCTTCCATGTATTGTCATTGGTTCCAACATGGACCAAGACAGCTGGGTCATGCCCAGCCCCTCCCAGTAATTTATCAACACGGTCCACCACATGCCGAACCCTGGCACCAGAGAGACAGCAAGCCATTTGGTTGAGGCAACCCTGGTGACAAATTATTTGCTCAGTCCTTCTGATTATAGAATACTCTACTACCACAAGTTGTCTAGGCCTTCCTGTACTACCCTCTAAACACCTCCCAGATGGTCTGCCCTCCCAGCTGTTAGGGATAGCAGTGAAATCCAGGGCTGCCACCCCTGAGCTTGCCACCCCTACATCTTCACCCAATTTGGCAAATCTGTTTGGGTGCACAAACCCAGGGCCAGCCTTTTCTTTTCTGTGAGCCCCTATCACTCCCTCTCGTTACAGTAACCCATCTTCGTACCTGATAATCCTGATTAGCCCCTCCACATCAATCCCATTAGCTACCTGCTGAGCGAGCAGAACACCCCTTTCAAAGTTGTTGGTTTTGCCCAGTGTTACAACTTGCTCCTCCAGATCTCTAACTCGTGCTTCCAGAAGGGCAACTCGCTCACATCTGTCGCAGTGGTATCCATCCTGGATCTGTTGCTCCATTGTTGCATAAATATTGGGACATCGACAATTCTAACATTTTTGCCTCTATACACCACTTCAATGGATTTGAAATGAAACGAACAAGATGTGCTTTAACTGCAGACGGTCAGCTTTAATTTGAGGGTATTTACATCCAAATCAGGTGAACGGTGTAGGAATTACAACAGTTTGCATATGTGCCTCCCACGTGTTAAGGGACCAAAAGTAATGGGACAATTGGCTTCTCAGCTGTTCCATGGCCAGGTGTGTGTTATTCCCTCATTATCCCAATTACAATGAGCAGATAAAAGGCCCAGAGTTCATTTCAAGTGTGCTATTTGCATTTGGAATCTGTTGCTGTCAACTTTCAAGATGAGATCCAAAGAGCTGTCACTATCAGTGAAGCAAGCCATCATTAGGCTGAAAAAACAAACCCATCAGAGAGATAGCAAAAACATTAGGCGTGGCCAAAACAACTGTTAGGAACATTCTTAAAAAGAAGGAACGCACCGGTGAGCTCAGCAACACCAAAAGACCCGGAAGACCACGGAAAACAACTGTGGTGGATGACTGAAGAATTCTTTCCCTGGTGAAGAAAACACCCTTCACAACAGTTGGCCAGATCAAGAACACTCTCCAGGAGGTAGGTGTATGTGTGTCAAAGTCAACAATCAAGAGAAGACTTCACCAGAGTGAATACAGAGGGTTCACCACAAGATGTAAACCATTGGTGAGCCTCAAAAACAGGAAGGCCAGATTAGAGTTTGCCAAAGGACATCTAAAAAAGCCTTCACAGTTCTGGAACAACATCCTATGGACAGATGAGACCAAGATCA